TGTAACTCCTCTGTGAATCTGAAAAGTTGTTATCCTGCTATGTGGAAAATTGAATATTTATGTAGAAAGAAAAATATCTAGGCTTATTAAATTCAGTTTTAATAATACTTCTTCAATGTTTTAAAGATCAGCATAGCTCTGTGGCTTTCAAAATAAGGAATAAAGACTGTGAAGAATAAAGTAAAAAGGCTAAAGTGGGTGTGTAGATTGTCAAAATTAGAGAATATGGTTTTGTTATATCCCTAATCACATAATATCAAAGGACATCGGATTTAGAGTTAGAAACATCTTTGCAACATCTAAGTTCCAGTCCCTGCTCAGCTATACTTTTTCCATGTGAGCAGATCACCCAGCCTTTTAGAATTTTAGCCTCCTCATCTATAAAATGGGGATGATTAACTCTATGTGGTACTTCATGGAGAACTTTCGGGGAAATAGCAAGTTAGAATAACGTTGCCTCCGTAAAGTCTTCCTCAACAACAAGTGTCATGAGTCTCTCCTCCCTTATTAAATCCTACTCTATACCACATCATCTAGCTCTGGAGTATATACAGTTTTATGTAATAGGGCAGATTGCAAAAACAAATTTTAAAAGGGTGAAAGAAAGGACCTTAGAGACCACTTAATCCACAACTGTTCGTAGGTGAGAAAAATAAATCCTAGAGAAATGAAGTAACTGCTCAGGTCGCACAGATAATGAGTAGTTAGAGTCATGATTTGTGTCCAGGTCCTCCCATTCTTAATCTAGATTTCTTAATCTGGGATCTGTGAATTTGTTTTAAAAAATATTCAGATAACTGTATTTTAGTATGATTGGTTACCTTTGGAATCTTGTGTATTTTATTTCATGCATTTTAAAACATTATTCTGAGAAGGGGTTCATAGTATTCACTAGATTGCCCAAGTGATTCATGATGCAAAAAAGGTTGAGAATCTCTGCTTTAACTCCAATGCTTTTCTAACTCTACCTTACTGTCTCCCATTTGGGAAGATTCTGGATGGAGATTTTTGAACCCTGAGGCCGGGAAGATGTTTAGGAGTATTCTTGGCTATGCTTCCACATTCCTAGCCCCGGAGGATCTACCAGAACTTCATAATGTGGAACCTGAGGCCTCATCTATGTTACAGCTTCCAAAAGATGAGAAAGCTTCCTCATGTTTCAAAGGAATAGGCACACATCAAGCTGTTCCCTAGTGATGCAGAGTTCTTATTTCACCCATGAATCTTCAGGAGCCCACTTAGAATCTCATAATTTGGGAATGGGTTTTCTGGGGTTAGCTCTCATGATTCAGTTTCATTGTAGGTATTACCCTCTTCAAGAGTTAACAGTAGAAGAAGGGGTACCACTTTCTTCCAAATACAGGTTTGCAAAGTTCAGAACCAGGCTCCTTGCAAGCCCCCATTTGGTATATGATGATGCTTGTATGATTATCTAATTACATTTTTGGTTGTCCACTTATGGTATTGTTCAGGCAGTTGGCCTTTTCAATAGGTGCTAGTTTGCATCCAGGCACAGAGATAAATAACTAACTAATCAACATCACCACTCAGCAATGGATTAGAGAGAGGCCCCAGTCTCTGGTTTCAAATTCTTAGACTCTGTGGAACCACGAGCTTGCGTACTAGAAACATAGATTTAGTCTTTCATTAATTATGTGGAGACAGATAAATGGAATTAGATTTTAAGAAAACAGGGTCCCTGCTCTGTTAGGAAAAAATAAAAGCTATATTTCTTAAGGGGTAAAACATAAGGAAATTGAGAGCTCCGATTATGCTTAAAGGATATTATGTGTTAGTGTGTGTGTACGTTAGTAGCATGTTTTTGTAATAGGGAAAAATCCTGTATTTAGATTTGGAAGTCCTGAGTTTGAGTTCAGAACGGGGCACATACTATATGATCATAGGCAAGTCACTTAACCATCTCTATGCCTTAATTTTTTTCGTTTGTAAAATAAGGTTAATAGTATTGTACTACCCTATGATTGTGGGGAGGAAAGTACTTTGTAAAGTGAAAAATTCTACCCAAATGAGTCATTAGGGTTATGACTGTTACTATGTCTGTTCATGACCTTAAGTAATTAGCCATTTCCATACTTCTGTCGAAATGATTCCCATTCCATCATGCCAGGAAATATTTTCATTTTATTGACTCTCAAAATATGAACTATCTCTATAGGACTCCATTGTTTCCCAATAGGAACTTACTACTCCCTCTCATCCTACTTCCATCATGATGTCTTACCAAAAGTATTCTCCCTTTCAGCTTGGATCTCTCCCAACAGACACATATTGTATACAGTTGGTGCTTTACCCCTGAAGATTGTGAAAAACTTTGTTATTTTAGGGTTAGCTTAACTTTCTCCTCTATGGAGCATCCAGTGACACAGCTCTGCCTAAACTGTGGATGACTTGTCCTTCTGTGCTGTGCATGAAGAAAATATTGATCCATTCTTTTATGATGGCAAATAAGGTAGTTTTACTGCTTGTTGTAATGGTCCCATTACATTGAGAGAGGGTCAGACTCAATGTAGTTCAAATGTTTTAGTTTCCTTTTAATAAAGTTTTTTAAATCTCATTGCTGTAAAACTCTTTAAAATTGGTTCATATACACATGGGATCTTACAAAGTCTTAAATTATGATAGCCTCTCATTTTACATATTCTTTGAAAAACTTAATCCTTAATTCTATAGTTTTATTTTGCATAATAGTTTGCTCTCTAGGCAGCACTTGTGAGGTTTCAGGCCATGCTGTATTGTTTGCATTGCTTGCAGGAAAACATGCTTCATATTTATTGTCCTCAGAGGAAAGGGCAATTTGTTTTGTTTTGAAATGAGAAGGATTTAGAAAAATCTATTTTAATACCCATAGCTTATAACGAAGATAGTTGGTCTTTTGCTTATATTATTTCAGGACAAATAGAGTAAAACCTTTTTCCTCCTTAGTAACTATAGAGAAGAAATTATTCGTGGGTTCTCTTACAGCTTCTGAAAAGAATAGATTACATATTTTCTGTTTTTTAGATCTGGTTAATGGGGGGGAGGAAGGATTGCTTAGGAGATGACATTGTTTGGTTTGGGAAGTATTCAGTTGGTCGCTGAGCAACTAGCTCTTGGAAACGGGAGTGGACTGAGTTACCCTTAGCAACCGTTGTTACTTAGCAAACAATGAGGGCCTAGGCAAACAGAGCCAAGACTGTGGACTCCTGGTTTTTAATTGAACATCTGCATGTGTTTTCCTCTGATTAAATAGTGTTTGAGTTTGATTTGCCAAAATAGATATACGTGGGTCTATTGAGGGAATTAGTTACCAGGAGGTATATGACTATACTTTAGTATTTCAGTTGGGCAAAAAGTGTGTGTTTTTCCTTATGTTCTGTCTAATTGAAACTGTTCTCAAGAAAGACTTAATTTAGGCTTGGTGGTTTAAGTAGAATTTTTTTCTTCTCAATCTGATTTCACATCAAGATTTGTGTATATATTATCCTCACTTAACTAACCTTTTACAGCATACATAATTATATATGTTGCAAAATTCCCAAATGTTTTTCAGGGTAATGTTATTACTGTTGCTAGAGGAAAACAAAGCTGGCGGCGTGAGCTTTCAGTGACATGTTTTACAGCTATTCACCTTTGCAGTTGTCAAAAGCTGAGAGTTAAACTCACAAACCTTTTAACCTTAATGCTCAATTTAAAATCATTAAATATTCTTTTCTACTGAATAAGGTGATACTTATATGTTTGTTAGCATGACCTGCATATTGCTATTACTGCATTGGAGAGAAAAAGCGGCTATTGCTACTGAGGGAGTAGTAGAAATTTGTATTACTATGTGGACAGTTTGCAACTACAGGATGGCCTTAGATTGATATACTCTCATTCCCCTCCCCCACCCCTCCACCTTGTTAGGGAGCCAAAAATACTGATTGTTTACAAGGGTTTGTTGCTGGGTAAGCATTACAACAATATTTCATTCAAAGACTGTGACACATTTCATTCTCTGGGTGGACATCAGAGCTGTAAATTAAGAAGTATGAGTCCAGGTTTTGGGGGGAATCTTTCTTATTCAACTAGACTGCAGTCTACCTTCTGATTTGACAACAACTAAAAATTTGTCTTCTACATTATATTAACCTACTAGTGTTTATAGTAAAACAGTCCTTACTCTTGGTGTATTTTTTCCATTTTCTTTTCTGGAGTCATGTCTTTGTAGTTGAATGTCAGAAGAAATCTCTGTCATTTCACTTCTATGCCAGAATTGCAAACAGTGGTATGAAAATCCTTAAACTATAGGCAGCTGAAAAGATTTCCCAGTTCTCTTTTCTTTTGTAGTAGAATCGTATCCTGGAACTAGATCTGTGCTGAGTTAAGTTTTCAGTCTTGGACCTATTCAGATGTAATAATTAAGAGCTTTTTACTGGACCTAGAATTAAGAGCTAGAATCAAACTGATCATCCTTTGATTTAAGTGACACTTGCAGGTAAGAGTAATAAAATGCATCATCTTGTTGTTGAAAGATTATCATATATCTTAAAAATACATTTTTCTTATGAGCACCTATTCTCCCCAAAAGATATTTTGAGCCCCTTTTCAGCTTGGGGCTATTACTTGGATGGGTGCTTTTTTAGACCTTATTGACTCGTTTTAGTTCTTTAAATTTTTCATTGTGAACCTTGTACCTCTTTTTGCTTAACATGGAAATATTTTTGTCTTATATCAAACTGTGTGACTTGAGTAAAGTCACTTTAATTCTTTGAACTTAGTTTTCTCATTTTCAGAGGGAGGGGTATGAACTAAATTTGGCAGTGTAAAAAGTACCTACTGTGCATAATTCCCAAGGTCCATTCTGAGTGGTGCTTAAATTCCCAGATTTGGGGTCGAATCATCTTGGAAGTTTCTCAAGTTTTCCATGTCATGGTAAAGTTGTGACAAACAAAGCACTGGGAGCTGGGAGGAGATGGCCGGCACTACCAAGAACAGGAAGAAGAACAGGAGCTTCCTTCTTGTCCAGATCTGTCATGCGGACAGCAGAGAACATCTCACAGAACGCCCTGCAGTCATCTTCCTCCTCTGGGAATGGTCGCCTAGAGCAGAAGGCAGCCACAATCACAAGGCCCTCGCTGTTCAGTGAGTCTCCTCATCATGCTGGCAGTTACCTTTCAATTTGCAAGGGCTGTGACATTGAGGGCCCAGAAGAAGACCGTGTTAAAGAGGATAGTTTATGGTCTACTAGTTATCAAGTCAAGCCAACAGGCATTTATTAAAGATCTACTGTGTGCCAGGCACTGTGTGCTAATCACTGGGGATATATAGAAAGGCAAAACAATAACAGAACAAAAAAATTTCTGCTGGTGAGGACCTCATAGTCTAATGGGAGAGAAAACATGCAAGCAGCAATGTACAAGAAGGATATAGACAGAATAAATTGGAGATAATCAATAGAGGGAGGGTACTAGTAGTCAGTCAAGTGCCTACTTTGTGGCTTGATAAAAAAGAAAGGTAGGGGCAGCTAGGTAGGTGGTGAAGTAGATAGAGCACCAGCCTTGGATTCAGGAGGACCTGAGTTCAAATCCAGCCTCAGACACATAATACTTACTAGCTGTGTAACCCTGGGCAAGTTACTTAACCCCATGGCCTAGCCAAAAAAAAAAAAAGGTAAAAGACAGTGCCTGCCCCCAAGCTCACGACCTGATGGAGGAGAGGATATACAGATAACCATATATATGTACGAGCTATGTACAGGAGAGAATGGAAATAGTCAACAGATGATCATACAAGGCTTCTTTTAGAAGGCAGAATTTTCACTGGGACTTGAAGGGATCCAGGGAAAGCCAGGAGAAAGAGAGTTTTATATTTGATCCTGGAGGTAATAAGGAGCCACCTAGGGGGAGTGTCCATTTGACAGCTGAGTGGAGAGTGGACTAGAGTGGGAAGAGACTTGAAGAAGGGAGACCACCAAATGGTTATTGCAGTGAGGTGTGAGGTGATGAGGGCTTCCACCAGGACAGTGGCAGTGGCAGTGCAAAGAAGGGGGAGCATTTGAGATACGTTCTGAAGTTTGAATCAATAAGACTTGGCAACTCAGTTAGATTTAGGAGGTAAGAGAAAGTGAGGAATCAAGGATGACACAGGTTGCCACCCCAGGAGATGGGGGGATGGTGAAGTTAGGGAGAGGAAAGAGTCTAGGGGAAAAGATATTATTAATATCTCACTCTTTCTACTGTTCTGTTGCATATGTTTGGTGCACTTGAAGGAGGAAGGTAAGGGTGGTAAAGGAAGAGAATGAGTCCAAATAAGCCTTGTCCTCTAAGTCACTTCTCCTATCACTATCCACTCATATTTTTACTAACTTGTCCTGTGCCTAGTCTTGTCCTTAACTGTAAATAACTTCTTCTCGGTACTCATTCTGCCCCAGACCTATTTATTTCTTGGAATCTCTGGCAGGTTGGTCTCTTGAAAACCCTGAGGTCTTTTAATCTTAGCGTTGGTTCAGAGACATGTGATGAAGGGAAATGTACCATTTTCCAAGACAGTTTTGGCTAGCGTCAGCTGTTCGGGAGCTTGGTTCTGATGTCAAGCCTCAATTTGCCTCTTGGTAGCTTCTACCCGTTGTTCCTGGTTCTGCCTTCTCCCACCAAACAGAACCAGTCCAGCCCCTCTTCCACCAGATCTCACATTCAGGGTTCCAAAAGTCAAATTCAAATTTGCGAATGATTGATGAACTATGTGATTCTTAGCACCCTCTGTCCCATTTTTCTCTATTCTGTCTTCACCGCAGATGCAGAAGGGGAACTTCATAGGACTGAGGGCCATTTAAAAAATTTTCCTTTGTTTTAAAACTTGGCATTCCAAGAGGTAGAGGTGGGGGGGGGGAAGAGCACAGAAGACATCCAATGCAAAGGCACAGAGATGAGGAATGGGCCGTCCTGGGTGAAGAACTAGAAGTAGGCCAGTGTGGCTGAACCAAAGAAGCTAAAAAGAACTAATGTATAAGTGGGCGGGAAGTTAGGAAAGGGCTGGGGTGTAAAAAGTTTTAAATGCCAAATAGAGGAGTTTGCAGTTGATCCTAGAGGTAATAGAGAGTCAGTGGAGTTTATTCAGCATGGGCGTGACAAGGTCAGACCTGTGCTTTAGGAAAATCACTTTGTACAGAGGATGGATTGGAATGGGGAGAGGTTTGTGTCAGGGTGATCAATAGGGGGTTATTGCAATAATCTAAGTGAGAGGTAATGAGGTCCTGAACAAGAGTGGTGGCTGTGTGAGAGGCGAATCTCTTTAATAATAAACTCTGCAATTTTGCCAGGGATTGAAATCAAGCTCACTGGCCCATAATTTGTAGATTCTGTTCTCTTCCCTTTGTTGAAAATCAGAGTATTTTCCCTTCTATAACTTCTCCCAGTTTCCATGATCTTTCACATAGGCATCCATGATATCCATGATTGGCCCTGCATTCACCCTTGCCAGTTAAAGCTTTAAATGCTTGAGTATGTAGCCATCATGACTAAAGTGGCTTGAGTTCTTAGGATCATAGGGTCCTACCTAAACAGAGGATGATAGTCCATAGATATGGACCTCTGAGGTCATCTGGTCAAACTCTTTCATTTTACAGATGGAGAAACTCAGGCCCAATGAGGTTAAGTTTACGTCCACATGGGTGGTAAGTAAGTAGCAGAGCTAGGATTCAGACTTAGGTCCCATGACTCCAAGAAGAGTGGGAAAACTCGGCATGCTTTCCCACTGGCTCGTTATGGCTCCAGAGACTCCACCATAAAATGCTTTCCATTGTACTATGTTGAGTTTTTCAAGGATAATTAAGTGCTCTCTTACTCTTGCCTTACTTCTTTTAGGTATCAGTTCACTAGTAGCAATTTTTCTGCTCTTTCCAGTCCAAAGATCATTTCCTTAATAAATAAAATAGAAGCAAAATACAATTTGAGCAGCTCTTCTTTTTCTTTTATCAATTAGAATAATCCTATCTAGCCCAAGCATCAGTCTTATTCTTTCTTGTTCCTCCTCTTTTCTGCAGTCTAGCTTTTGAAACAAAAAAAAACAAAAAATAGCTCAATCAAATTCTGTTGTTTTTAATTTTGCATGCCACTCTCAGCTCGTTATAAGCTTTAGAACTCTTACGCTATTCTTATAGTATCACATTTCACATGCATAGTCATTGTCACTTATCTGCCATTTAAATGTCTAAATTGGCTAGTGAATTGCATCCGTATCAATCTCTTCAGACTACTCTCCTTTCCCTCCCTTATTGGATTTACCTTTCTGTGCCTTGTATACCTGTGTCTTCAGAATTTCATTCTTGAGAATGTTTTTGTGCCTCCTGGGTACTTCCCCTATAGAATTTCAGTCTGTGGCATCCTCTCTGTCCTTCTTTGAACCCTTTGAAATCTGTTCTCCAATTATCTTTTATCATAAACTGTAAGATGGAGTGGTCCACCCCCACCTCCCCAGGTTCCTATTTTTTCTGTTTTTCTTCCTTGTTAGTGAGAATTTGATCCAGATTAAAAATTTCCCTTGTAGGTTCATCTACCTTTTACAAGGCTGAAATTATTTTTATGATTTGTCAAGAAGTTAGTACATGCTCTGATTTTGGTCAAGAAAGAGTTCTAGCAAATGTCCGTATCACTATTTTATCACATCTCCATGCCAGGTTTGCTAGCTGTTTTCCAAACTCCTTAGCTCTTCAACAACAATTTGTTAGGTATTTTATAATCAAGATTTTTTTTAAATTTCAAGTTTGGACAAAATGTCTACTTACATCCTTTCCTGCTTTCAGTTCTTGTGATTCTATGATCTGATTCTATTTATGTGGTCTGGAATATACAATGACAATATTGTTGCTTTTTCTTCACTCAAATGTTCTCCAGCATGTTCTGCATCTTCCTATTCTCAATTCCTGAATTTCCCTGCCTGAAAATTCTTTTTTATTAATCAAAAATTTTTTTCGAATAGCAAAAATCTGATTTATCATCTCTTCATTTCCTATCCCTACCTCCCATGTGAGAAAGAAAGAAAAACAAAACCCTCTGGTAAAGGAACGAATATACATATATACAAGTGAAATGAATTTCTACATTGGCATGTCCAAAAACATACTTCACTCTCAGTCCTTCACCTCTTTATCAGGAGTTGGGTAGCATGTTTCATCGTGAGGTTTTTGGAGTTGTGGTTGGGCCTTACATTGATTAGAATTCTCAAGTCTTTCCAAGTTGTTTGTCTTTACAATATGGCTGTCATTGTATAAATTGTTCTCCTAGTTTTGCTTACTTCTCTCTGCATCAGTTCATACATGTCTTCCCAGTTTTCTCTGAAAAGATCCTTTTCATCATTTCTTACAGCATAAAAAAGTATCATATCACATTTGTATACCATCACTTGTTTAGCCAGTTGATGGGCACCCCCTCAGGTTCCCATTCTTTGCCACCTCAAAAAGAGTTGCTGTAAATATTTTTGTGCTTTCTTAAATTTGTTTTGCTTCGGACTAACCTCTCCTTTAATCTGACCTCCCTTTAATTCCCCCTTCTATTTGTTCTTTCCCTCTTATTTCCCTGTTGAATGAAATATATTTTTATACCCAACTTTGTGTGTGTGTATGTATGCTTGTGTATTCTTCCCTCCTTTGACCAGTTCAGATGAAAATGAAATTCAGCTGTCAGTTGCTTCTGACTTCTTCCTCCTTGTTTGAATAAACTTTTGTTTTTTTCTACATCCCAATTATGTGAGATAATTTTCCTTAACTTTTCTTTCTTTCTCATCCCCCAAGTATATTTCTCTTCCTTTTTCTTTTTATCTGTTTTTAAAGATCATCAAGACATAATGCAAACATTCCCAGGCCTTCTGTCTAATTAGATTCCCTCTATGACCTTTGATGATGATAGGGTTATTTTATGATTTCTTGAAGTATGAGGTCTAGATTTATTTTTTTTTTTGGACATGGCTTTTAGGTAGCCCAGTGATACTGAAATGATCTCTTCTCAATCTATATTCTAGGTCAGTTGTTTTCACCAAAAATACCTTATGTTGTCATTGATCTTTTTTTTCCAGTCTTTTGACTTCGTTTTACTGTTTCTTGTCTCATGGAGTCAAGTCATTGGCTTTTGTTTGGTCCATTCCAATTT